TCGGGTGACCAACGGGGAGCTTTTGGCTCAAATTTTGGACTGTCGCTATAGAAACGAGGTCTTTAGTGACACATCAGTAAGCTAGAGTTTTCAATGTTTGGCGTAATACAGTATTTATCCATTATTTTATTCGCTAAACTGTTGGGTCTACTGCCAAATTTTAGATTGTGTTCGTACTTTGCAGTTCAGGTCTTTGGCTATAGATAAAACTTAATATTGTTATTCTGCGTTCTCTTGTCTGTCTCTCGCTGCTTTGCTTCTTAATATGTCCTGGCAGCTGTATTTATGCAAAAGGAAAGTTGAGTTTTTCCCCAAATTATTTGCATTTTAAAATAAAATCCAACCCTGAAAATTTGAAATTGGAAGCAGGTCATTTATTTTCTGTCCAGTGTTCCTTTTGAGTGGTGGTCGTCTTGTTTTCAGTAGAGACCATACAGTCGTTTTTTTAAAAAAAATCGTTAAAAAAAGTCGTCTTTTTTTCTGTTGCTCACGGGCAAGGATTTTTTTCAGCAGACTCTGATTTTATATATTTGATTTGAGGCAAGGCAAAGAGAAGGGAGAAGGAAGCTGTTTTTTTTCTGCAGAAATCCTAGGAAAAAGGTTTTTTCTCCATTTTTTTCTCCTGTCTGGCAACTTTCAGTGACTTCCTGCAAACAGCTTGCTATTTAGCTGTCATAACCCATCACAGTTGCTAACTGGTTAGTCTGGTGCCTTTTAATAAAATATTTCAGCCGGAATTCTGGTGCCTTTTAATAAAATATTTTAGCCGGAATTCGTGCTCCACGACTCCTCCTGATTTTTAATCGCCCAAGATGCAAAGCCGTCAGATTTCCGCCTGCGTTTTTTTCTTCTCTAGCATTATTTTTTGCTAGCCTGAAGTGCGAAATCAGCCATTGCCGCTTGCAAACTACGGATGGTGGCTTAGCAGGTTGAATGGGTCCCTTTGGGTGGCCAGATTAGTCGGCTAACCGTGTCAAGAGCAAGCTGGCTTAGTGTCCAGTGCAACCCGGGTTGCAGAAGCTCTCGGCTTAAGTTGGCGATACGAGACTTACCGAGCGAAAGCATTTTTGAAGGTTTTTGAGCAGGGCTGCGTTTAGGAATCGTTGGCAGCGATGGACAACCACGTGGTTGCTTCCACGAATCCAGTGTCAGGGGGTGGTGAGGCTGGAACCAGCCCCGGGGCTCCCCAAAAGGCCTGGGACCCCCAATTCCCAGAATTCCTAGCCGGCACAGCCCTCGAGGGTTCTGGGAGCCCCCATCTTGGCCTAGCCTTGCTTGGAATTCTGGGAGTTGGAGTTCCAGCATGCCTGGAAGACCCCAGGGGAGGGTCGCGCTGGTCTGATGTGAAAGGCAGTCAGGCAGCTCCGTGTGTGTGTGTGTGTGTGTGTGTGTGTGAAAAATATAATAAATAATAATTTATTTTGTATTTTATTTTATTTTTATTTATTTATTTTTATTGGTCTGATGTGAAATGCAATAAGGCAGTTCCGTGTGTGTGTGTGTGTGTGTGGTAAAAATATAATAAATTTTTTTTTTATTATTTTATTTATTTATTTTTTTATTGGTCCGATGTGAAAGGCAATAAGGCAGCTCCGTGTGTGTGTGTGATAAAAATATAACAGTAATTTGTTTTTTATTTTATTCTATTTTTATTTATTTTATTTTACTTATTTTTATTGGTCTGATGCAAACTGCAGTAAGGCAGTTCCATAGATATGTTTGTGCATGTGTGTGTGTGTGATAAAAATACAATGAATGCTTTATTTTTTATTTTATTTACTTTTTATTGGTCTGACGTGAAATGCCATAAGGCAGGTGCCTATGCATATATATCTACGTATGATAAAGGTATAATATCAAATAATTGTTTTTATCGGGGCGTTTCCCTGTGGGCTGCTTGTGTTTTAAAAAAAAGGGCGAGAAAGTGGCGTTTGAGCTTCCCGAGCAGCCGCAGCCGCAGCGTCGAAGGGGCCGGCTCTGCACTGCCCGGCCGGTCTCGGGCGGCTCTCGTTCCGCAGGCGGGACCCTCTTTCCTCCCGTCCAGGCCGGTCCGGTTTGTAACCCGGCCGCGGCTCCGTCTTGTCGCAGGTGCCCGAGTCGAGGAGTTCCTGTACGAGAAGCTTGACCGGAAGGTGCCCTCTCGGGTGACCAACGGGGAGCTTTTGGCTCAGTACATGATCGAAGCCGCCGGCGACTTCGGCCCGGGTTCTCCTTACGGTGAGTGGTGGCCGGCGGGGGCTTTGTTTGCCCGCCCCCGACCGGCGTTTTGGCAGACGCCGAGCGTGGGGTGATCTGCGCCTCCTCTGCCGCTCGTGGGGCCCTTTCCCACGTGTTCAGCCGTCGGTCAGGGGCGCCCCCGTTTGCGTTCCTTCCCCGTGCAGGGGCTGGGCTGGATGACCTCAAGGGACCCTTTGGCTCTCTGTGGACCTTTGATTCCCTGCCAAGTCAGGGAGCGAGACCTGCCGGTGGCATCTGGTTGAGCGTCAGGAAGGAAAGAAAGATAGTTCAGTCTATCAACCAGAGGAGTTCAGTGAGCAAGGAGACTGGACGGGTCCACGTTGGGGCTGCTTTTACGCAAGAGCCGGAGATTCGATTCCGGGGCCTCCGGGGCCTCTTTCGAATTCAATGATCCAGTCCTTTGGAAGGGAAGAATGGCATTGCTTGGGGGCCAGAAGAGAGGCTCGGCCGCTCCCTGTAGCTTAGGGACTTCCCAAGGTGAAATCCGGCCCAGCTGGGATGGGAGACCATGAGGAGATGCCAGCTCTGCGTTCTCTCGGCAGGCAAAACTCTCATCAAAGTTGGCGAAACCGAACGGCGTTTGGGAGGAGCCGAACGGGACTTCATTCACGCGGCCTCCGTCAACTTCCTGAGCCCTCTGCGCAACTTCCTGGAAGGAGACTGGAGAACCATTTCGGTGCGTCAGCGGGCGCGGGAAGGGCGGGTGAAGGGGGCCCTTATGGATGGAAGTGACTGCTCCACTTCCCTGCCAAAGCGAGGGTGGCTTTGCTAGATTTTGCTTCCAGTACCAATTCTCGTAGGTATTGTTGCGGGGCTGTGCGATGTTTTTGAAGCAGAGAGTTGCCTTTGCATTTAATTGGCAAATGCATTTAATTTGCATTTAATTACTTGGAAACGAGGTGTTGCCCTGATTCTGCCTCTGCATTTGCTTACCCCTGGCTTACTACTTGCTTGCTCCAGACTCACATATCCCCACACTCCGTAAGTAGACAGGACCAAGACATTGCCTGGACCCCGTGAAACGGAAGACACGTGTCGTTTTCTTAAGATCGAATTCAGTATCCCCACCGGGGCCTTGCAAAACATTTCAGACCGTCCCAACCAGACCCAAAACGCTTCCCAGGGGGCCAAATCAGAGCTCGAACCTTTTGTGCTGACCCCCTTTCGAATTCAGGACATTTTGTGTGCAGATCGCTTAGAGGTTGCAACGGGGTGGCGAGGTTTGCAGAGCCTCACCGAGCTTCCCAGAAGAAAGTTTGGTCTCCTGTTATTTTGCATTATTCTGTCCTCCTTGTTATGTTAGGAAGTGTCTGGCTCGTAGGTTGCTTGCAGAATCGTTGCATAATAGCGACGTCTTCTTTCCTGATATTATTTTGGGGGTGGGGGTGATTCAGAGGACGCCATCTGCTCCTTTGAATCTTTGCATATGTTCCTGCTGGTTTCCCCAACATTTTTCTTAGTGTGTAAAATCTGTTAAGGAGCGCAGGATGTGAATAACAACGAAATATTTTTTTGGAGGAGGGGAAGAAAAATAAACCAGGGTAGAGCTGGAAGTGTTGGGTATATCGTCACACGTGGATGAGACTTTTAGCTGGCACTGTTTACTTTTTCCCGCCTTCGTAATGCAAGCAACTCTTTGGGAATTAAAAAAAAAAAGTCAGGGCGTGTAGCATTTGGGGACGAATTGGGCTCTGAATGCAAGTATAGCGTTGATCTGCAACTCTTTAAAGCAGCCGCGTCTTTTCTTGCAAGGCTGTAGCTGCCACGTAATCCTGGGGAAAGATGCAGCTGCTTTAAAGAGTCACAGACTGGTGCTTTATTCATACTCCAGCTTCAAAGCACCTTTTTGGAATCAAATTGAAGCTCGTTTGTGCTTCATAAAGCTACCTCCTTTTCGTATAAAATTTTTGGGGAGATAAATACCATCGCTCAACGAAGAATCTCATGCTCCCCAGAGTTAAGCTTATTGCATTTATTTATAGGACCAAACCTCAAGCTTAAAAATAAGGAACTTATTATATTATATTTATTATATTGGCAGCTAAAATAATAATTGCCCAACACTGGAAAACCCTAGATCAGTGTTACTCGACCCTAGCCATAGATAAATAGAATAAATAAATGCATGAAAAAATCTTGTGATCTATACCTTTACTCCCAGTCCCCTCCCTCCCCCCCCCAAAATTAAGTGTACCTCCAGAAGCTCCCCAAATTGGTTACCAAACTCTGATTTTGGAAGC